TATATATATATATATATATATATATATATGTATGTGTGTATATATATACGTACATCGCTATCACACACACAGCTGATATACCCTACATCTCATATCAGATGTGAAGAACAAGGTGCGTTTAATTTTAAATTGTAACATATTTAGATAAACATTAAGTTAATATTATAAATTACATACATATTTAAAGTGTCATGTAAAAAATACATCAACTATTTAAAACATTGTTTTGATAGTTTAGTTTCTGAATAATTGAGCAACCAATGACAGACAAAGCAGAATCCCATCTGAAAGTTAAATATGCATATTCTTTTATACAGGTGTGGCAGTAAGGAATAATTGATGACGGGCCATTGAATTATTATAAAATAATGTACACCCGAGGTGATGGTGTGGCCACATCGCGAAGCGTCTGTAAGGGAGAGAGAGCGGGAGAAGGAGTAGGCTATATGCTTTCCCTACATAATAAAACATAATTTCGTGGCAAAAACATGGAAATAATATGTCGTTTTTATTCTATTGTTTACTGTATTTATTTGTTTGGCCAGTGTCGTTGTGCATGAGTTTTGGTTATTTTGTTGTTTTAGGCTGTAAGGACCTTTGAAATAACTCAAATCATTTGGCAAAGTTATATGGACATGTAATGTGGTCAAGACCTACCTCTGGAACTACGTTCGCCGAGCATGCGTTTCCCTGAAAATAATTGCACATGTTAGAACGTCTTTTTTCTTCTTATGTTCAGTGATCATTTACATTGCCTACTTACCGTATATCGCCACCTAATTGATGGTTGTGCAATCATTTTTTATTTGTATTTTTTTCGTTTAGTCTTTTAATCAAGAATATAAGATTTATATCTTTATAAATTTATTTATTTATTTATTTATTTTATATTTATACCTTTAATATAAGAATTATATTGTTTGTTTGATGCAAATTATATACCTTATAAGAAATATCACATATGTATTTTATTATAGAAATACATTATAGAAAATGCAGATCCACGATGTGTGAGACGACAATAAAAATAATAAATATATTAGAATAAAATAAACATTACCTTATAATAGTGTTTTGCAATTAATATATACATATATACATATTATATATAACAATAAATATAATAACATATTAGAATAATATATTACCTTATATATTACTTATAAAATTAGCATATCATACAACTCTCTCTCTCTCTCTATATATATATATATATATATATACAGTATATTTAATAACTCTTGTAATCAATAGATAATATTATAAGATCACGCATGT